AAAGAGTCAGACATGACAGAGCAATGGAACAGCAAGGAGATTCTGGCTGAAAGGACTCAGGCCCAAATAGTCTTTCTCTGGTCAGATGGTTTATTTATTCTTATGATCTTTCCTAGAGAGTTAAGCTGCACCTTGGCACTCTTTATAGAGGGGATGACCTTTACACTGTTGAACTGACATTTGGTGAAACTCACCAGATGGAAGGGACAGGCAGCACCTGAGTGTCACTCTGGGCTGCCTACATTTATGTGTCTAGAGAAGCTGGTTGATGATGGCTTAGGAGGGTGGGGTAAGGTCACCTGGGGTAAAGAGCCAGCGGGAATCTCTCCTGAGCCTCCTGGGGTCTCAGTCTAACTGGGGGCTCAGTCTTGGGCTCACCACCTGCCCTTGGATCGCTGGTTCAAGAGAGGAGCTCTGAGAATGGTCTTGCTAAGACCTACTCAAAAAGAAAAACTGCTCTCTCAGGGCATAGGATGATAAATTCTGAACCCAAAGCCCATCAGTGGGTGGACAACCAGACAAAAGCAGAGGCCATACTGAGGAGGCATAAGGTTTGAGAACTAGTGACTCATACACTGCTTCCCCTAATTATGTTCCATCACAGCCCTTCGCAAGAAAAGGGTGTGAACTCAGAGCTAGCTCAGATTGATGGTCATCAATCTGTATTTGCCTCTCATCTCTTCTCAAAGGCACGTGATAAAGTAAGTCATCTTTTTGGGAAAATTATCTACCAAAAAATGCCTGTCTCCTTTTCGTAGAGATAAATGGCTCTGGAATTAATTCGAAGAGAAACTAAAAACAGGAAGATGGAAAAGAATGTGGACTAGAAGTAGAGGTGGGAGAAAGGAAGAAAGAGTGGGGAAAAGAAAAATATGATTTGAGACTGTCAGAGCAAGAGACACTGTGGGTGGCCAGGAAGTGAGCCTGCTGAGCCTGAGAGGAGCAAGAGAGAATACTGGCTTCTCAGAGCTTCAGCACAAGAATATGACTACAGAGAGGTGTCTGGGTCAAAAGGGTTTAGCAAGCCCTGCCTTCCAAACCAAGGGGGGCAGGATTGAGCCCACCCCTAGGACTCCCTAGTGGCTCAGATGGTAAAGAATCTGCCTGCAATGCAGGAGACCTGGGTTTGATCCCCGGGTTGGGAAGATCCTCTGGAGAAGGAAATGGCAACCCACTACAGTATTCTTGCCTGGAAAATCCCATGGACGGAGGAGGCTGGTGGGCTACAGTCCATGGGGTGGCAAAAAGTTGGACGTGACTGAGGGACTAACACTTTTTACTTTTCACTAGGACCCCCTTGACTACCACTGGTTTGGGGGCTGGCTCCTTGTGCCTGCTTCTGCTTACTTACAAGGATAAAGAAGAGTCACTAGCAAGTACCAGTCTTGACATCAGGCAGGAGAAGGGGAAATGGGGAGAAATTTTGCTTCCAAGCCACAACCTAATGGATTTTAAATGATTTATCTCCTGGCCTTCCTTAACATAAGCCAAACCCGTTTCAGTTATTTCATGACTGTGCTTGGAGTTGCATTTTCACCATATTTTCCTAAGAATTAATGTTATGTAACACTGCCTGAGAGGCATCAGGGATATTCTTCCCTTTCCCCAACATTACAGTTAAGTCCTTATGTAAAGAGTTGTTAGGATTTGGGAAACTTCTAGCTCATGATCACATTCTCCTGACAATTAGGAGCAAGCTTCCTCAGACCATGACCATGAGGCTTTCCTGCTCATGACAAGAACTGGTCATATTGTATTCTTGCCCAGAATGGCCTCCTCCCATTTCCTGAGATGGTCCCCCTCTATCCCAACCACCCCTCAAGGCCTGGCCGCAAACACCAGCATGAAGCAGAGTCTGATTGCCCACCTGTATACTTCAGCTCCCACCATCTGTGTCACTCACACAGCACGTAATTTCTGTCTTTTTTGGTATAGATTTGTGCCCCAGCCTGACTACAGTCTAAGACTGGTAGCTTCTGGCAGCCACAGACTGTTACTCACTTTCCTTAGTGCTTTTCCACTATGGTCTCCTGCTTCTGAGAAGTACAGAAAACAAGTCAACTGAAAGATCGAATGCGTGAACAAATGCATTTGCCTTTCTCTTCAGTGACTAGCAATGAAGCTAGTATTCTCTCTCTTGTCTTTGAGATTCTTCCATGTTGGAGAAAAATATATTTTACGTCCATTGAGGAAAGTGCATTTATTTTGTATATCCAATTCTGAAAGAACCAAAGCATGGGATAATAATGTTGTAAATTTTCATCATATGTTGTTCAGTCGCTAAGTTGTGTCTGACTCTCTGAGATCCCCTGGACTGCAGCCCACCAGGCTTCCTTGTCCTTTACTAACTCCTGGAGTTTGTTCAAACTCATGTCCATTGAGTCAGTGATGCTAATTTCTTATTTAAAATAGATGTTTGGCACACCAATTTAAAAAAGAGAAGTTTACAGAATAGTAGGTGCTCAATAAATAAATCTTGAGTGAGTGAATGAATGAATGAATGGTAATAAGAAATTGGATAAAAATAGAAATGGTAGGAGAAGTAGAAAAAGAGTAGATGCACAAGAAGTTAAAGGAGACCTTGGGCTAATTAAACTCTAAGTCAGAAATGCTTATTTTACTACAAACTTTAACTTGGTAATTCAACAAGTAGAGAGGCAAGGCAATTGGTTGAGAAGAAAATATACTTTAAAGACAGACATCTGGATTCTGACATCACTCAGCCACTGTGTGACCTTGGACAAGTGACTCAACCTCTCTGAGCTTCACTATTTTTTAAAAAAAAACCTTTTAATTTTGAAGTAATTTTATATTTACAGGAAAGTTACAAAAATACAGAGAGTTCTTGTACATAGTTCACCCAACTTCTTCCAGTGTTAGCATCTTTCATAACCATAGTCCCACTATCACAACAAGGAAGTTAACATTGATACATTCATACAAATTAAACTACATGCATTATTAGAATTTCACCAGTTTCCCATCAATATCCTTCTTCTAGTCCAGGATGTAATAGGACCCCAAACTATATTTAGTTGAGCTCAAAATTCCTGGTCTCCTCTAGTTTTTGACAATTACCATTCATGACCCTGACACATTTGAAGAGTAGAATGGCCTTCAATTTGGGATTGTCTGATTTTTTTTCTCATGTTGTGGTTCAAAGCCCAGGCTCTGAGACCTGACTCTGTGGGTTTCAGTATCGCTGTTGCCACCTACTACCAATGGGAACTTTTGAAAAGAATTTCATCTCCTCGTGTCTGTTTCCCCTTTGGTAAAATGGGGTTAATGACAAGAATCTGTCTCCCAAGGTTGGTTGTGAGGAACAAATAAGTGGCACATGTTAAATTATCAGCATGACAATGCTAGATGACTACTAGCAATTCCTATGAATCACGATCTCCCTTTGAGGAATGATGCTCACAGTATCTCTGGAACATAGAGCTGTTTGAGATCAGCCTCTAACACTCTCTTCATCCACTGGGCCTCACTGTCATGATATAACCATCATCAGGGTCATGATTGACTGGCTATGGAGGCTACAAGGTGAGCTGCTATGGTTTGAAAGTGTTTAAGTAACAAAGATTGATTGATCCTCTGCAAATCAGAGATATATGAGACCTAGGATATTCTGTTAGCATTTAGGTAGTTTACTAAATGACGAGGAAACTACTGTATTTGTGGAATTCAACCAACCAACAACCACCAAACACCCAGACTGAAATTCTGTGTTTTAATATTCAAGACAAGGAAATGAAGTCTAAAAGAAATAAAATATAGAACAGAAAGCTCTGGGTGTGGGGTTAGGCTATGGAGTGAAAGTATTCTGTAAGTCCAAGAGCACAGCATCCCCTGACCCTAGCACTTCATAGAGACCTGCCTCTCTATCCTGTCCTTCATCCTTGGTCCAAGGTCACAGGGTGTCCAGCAAGCTCCCAGCAAGCTCCTAGACCTCTTACAATACCTCCCATCTAGGTGTTCCCAGAATCTGGTCACATCTGTCCTTTTTAGAAGTTGCTTCTGGCAAGGTCTCGGAGGCCTTGGAGGGACTTTCTGGGGCTGAGAAATTGATGGTATACAGAGGTCAGGAATGAGGCAATTCATTATCCTTCAAGACCATGTTCCTCCCAGCACTCCTGACCCAGGTGTATTAGTGTTTAATTTCTGCAGGGGAGAACTGACAATAGCAGATGGAGTGGGCTAGAAGGACCCCATGGGCAAGGGATCATGTCATCAAACTCCAAATTAAGACACCTGGGCTTACAAGCTTACAAAGAGGAAAGGAGGAGACAATTTGACAATGAGCCCGGGGAGAACATTTTGGCAAGGGCATACAGAAAATGAGGGGTTCTGGTTGTCCAAAGGGTGAAAGCTTGTAGAACACGGTTATGCTATGGGATGGAGATGGGCTCAATTAGGTTGAAGGGTGAAGTGGAGTGAAAGGGAGGATGACAGTGTGTCTATCTCATTGCCTGAAAAGAAAACAGTCATCATGGAAGCGTCAAGACAGATAGGCAGATGAGATAGCAGTAACAAACAAACCTAAAAGGAGAAATGCCTAAAGGTCACTTACTAGCAGTTAGACAAAGACAAACATCATATGACATTGTTTATGTGTGGAATATAAAAAAAGGTACAAATGAACTTATTCACAAAACAGAAGTAGGGTCACAGATGCAGAAAACAAGCTTATGGTTACCAGGAGGAAAGCGCAGGAGGGACAAATTAGGTGATTGGGATGGCCATACATACACTACTATATATAAAACAGATAATTAATAAGGACCTATTGCATAGCACAGGGGACTCTACTTAATATTCTGTAATGTCCTATCAGGGAAAAGAATCTAAAAAGGCATACGTATATGTATAGCTTATTCACTTTGCTATACAGCAAAAACTGATACAACATTATAATCAATTATATTTCAATTAAAAATTAACTAAAAATGAAAAAAATCACTAGTGGTTCAATCACAACAAATCTGAGAGTGGCTTCTTACCTCATTAAATCTCATCACAAGATCTTCGAGGGCGTTGTGCTCTCCATTCTGGGAGTTAAGAATGGATGCTGAGATGGATGCTTTGAGGGAAGGCAGGGACCTCTGGCGTTCTGTGGTGCCCAAGCCCCGGGTCAAGAAGAAAAGATAGTCAACTGGCAAGACCCTTCGGTAAATATTTTGCTCCTGCTCCATCAGAATGCTGGCGACTTCCTCTGGGAACTGGATGAGGGGCTTCAGATCAATCAGTTCTTTGCTGATCCCAGCTGAACTTGAAGGAAGGGCACTGGAATTGGCCATAGACGTGCCTGGTTGGCGTTCTGAAATAAAGCAACAGAAGCCATGGTTACACTGTGAATGGTACCCCCTACCACAGATATTTGGGCTTCCCAGGTGGTGCTAGAGCACGCTAAAGAACCAGGAGATGTAAGAGACACGGGTTTGATCCCTGGTTTGGGAAGATCCCCTGGAGGAGGGCATGGCAACCCACTCTAGTATCCTTGCCTGGAGAATACCATGGACAGAGGAGCCTGGCTGGCTACAGTCCATAGGGTTGCAAAGAGCTGGACATGATTGAAACGACCTGGCATGCACACATACACAAGATATTTACTTGAGAGCCATTCAGAATCTTACAGCTTTCTCCCTAGGTGTACATCGACAGATGAAGGGATAAAGAAGTTCTGGTACATATATACAATGGAATAATACTCACTCATGAAAGGAACAAATTTGAGTCAGTTGAACTGAGGTGGATGAATCTAGAGCTTGTTATACAGAGGGAAGTAGATCAGAGAGAGAAAAACAAATAATGTATATTAACACATATATATGAAACCCAGAAAAATGGTACTGATGAATCTATTTGTAGGGCAAAAATAGAGACACAGATGTAGAGAACAGACTTGTGGACACAGTGGTAGAGGGTGAGGAGAGGGTGAGACAAACCATTAAAACATATACATTGCCATATGTAAAACAGATAGCTAATGGGAAGTTGCTATGTAACACGGAAGCTCAACCCAGTACTCTGTGACAACCTAGAGGGGTGGGCTCGGGTGGGGGGTGTGAGGGAGGTTCAACAGGGAGGGATGTTTGTATACTTATGGCTGATTCATGTCATTGTATGGCAGAAACCAATAGAGTATTATAAAGCAATTATCTTCTAATTAAAAATAAAATTTAAAAAATCTTATAGGTTTATCAACCAAAGTTTCTGCTTGGTGAAGAGTCTATACTATCTCTCCTGTTATGTAGACCTTTCTAATATCTGTCTTGCCCCCCTCCCACTCTTTGCTTTCCCATTTTCAGAAGCAGAAGTGATCTAGCACACCATCCCCTAACCAGTTCACTGTGACACTCTGCAGAGTATTAGTGAAGGAGAATGTACTATCTGCTTTTGTGAAGGAGAATGTACTATCTGCTTCCTCATCCTCCAGGGCTAACCATCAGTCTGCAAAGGAATGAGGGTGGGCACGGGCAAAGCAACTGAAATGGAAGAGGAAAGAAGGCTGTAGGGGGAGGAGGCCTATACACGTATAGGGATGTGCACCCTGTGTGCGAACACACCAGAGACCTAGGGACCCTCCACACACCAGATTTCAAAACTTCACGGTCTACCCTGCCAATATCCCACCCTCAAAGATGCCAGTTCCACTGAGATTTATCTGGGGGTTTTCAGGGACAGAGGGCTTCCTTGATGGCTCAGACAATAAAGAATCTGCCAGTCATGCAAGAAACCCAGGTTCAATCCCTGGGTTGTGAAGATTTCCTGGAGAAGGAAAGGGTAACCGACTCTAATATTCTTGCCTGGAGAATCCCATAGACAGAGGAGCCTGGAGGTCTATAGTCCATAGGGTTGCAAAGAGTCAGATACAACTGAGCGACAAACACTTTACTTTCCTTACAGGGACAGAACAACCTATACAAGTAAGGAAGAAATAGGTAATAAGGAGATGTATAAAAATAAATAAAGTTTATTTCCTGCTTCACAACTGATAATAAGAAGGTGGTAGCAGGAAGGAAGGTAGCAAGTACATTAGATAGAAGTCCCAAAGGCATTCATTCATAGACTCAAAATTATTCCCTTAGCACATGTTCACTTTGCCACAGTGGATATCTCCACCTTCCACCTCTTCCCTTCCACTGACTCTTCTTTGCCTAGAGAGATGTTAATTACCTTTATCCTTAAACACAAACCAGTAAAATATCCCTTCTCTCTTAAACTCCAACTAGCCTTACCCTGAATTACCTACCTTCTCTAAAGGGTAGTCTACTTTCCCTGATTCCTTCCTCTATGAGTATGGCGACTATATCTTCTGATCCAAAACTCAAGCCATGCAGTCTGTTCAAATTAATAAATCAATAAGGATGTGGATGGAACAGAAAAGTGGAAACAAGGTCTGTCTTAGATGACAGTGTTGATGTGGAATACCAAATTATATCTGGTTCTCTCTAAGCTCATATTTGAAAATAATTAAAATAAGGCAGGTACTCAATCAAGCCTACAAGACCCCATTCTCCAACTTGCTGAATGGTTGAGAAAGTGACCAGATTTACCCCAAACTGAGCCAGAATATGGCCTGAATGATGATGGAGGCAGATCTCAGTTTCTGATGCTGATAATTTAGGTACAGTAGAACTAGCCATATATAGTAAATCTTCCCAGAAGTAACCAGGTTTAAGACATGATTTCAAAGTATAGCATTCTGTGAAGGAAATAAAAATAACTCCCTAATCTTATGAAACAGCTGCTTATTTAACTTACATGCAGAGTACATCATGTGAAAAAAACCACAAGCTGGAATCAAGATTGCCAGGAGAATATCAATAACCTCAGATATCCAGATGATACGACCCTAAAGGGAGAACGCAAAGAGAAACTAAGAGTCTCTTGATGAAGGTGAAAGAGGTGAGTGAAAAAGCTGGCTTAAAGCTCAGTATTCAAAAAATGAAGATCATGGCATCCAGTCCCATCACTTCATGGCAAACAGAAGGGGAAAAAGTGGAAACAGTAACAGACTTTATCTTCTTGGTCTCCAAAATCACTGTGGATGGTGACTGCAGCCATGAAATTAAAAGACACTCGCTCTTCAGAAGGAAAGCTATGACAAATCTAGACAGCATATTAAAAATCAGAGACATTACTTTGCCAACAAAGGTCTGTCTAGTCAAAGCTATGGTTTTTCCAACAGTCATGTAAGGATGTGAGAGGTGGACCATAAGGAAGGCTGAGCACTGAAGAATAGATGCTTTTGAATTGTGGTGCTGGAGAAGACTCTTGAGAGTCCCTTAGACAGCAAGGAGATGAAACCAGTCAGTCCTAAAGGAAATCAACCCTGAATATTCACTGGAAAGACTGATGCTAAAGCTGAAGCTCCAATAGTTTGGCCACCTGATGCAAAGAGCTGACCCGCTGAAAAAGACCCTCATGCTGGAGAAAATTGAGGGCAAGTGGAGAAGGGAGTGACAGAGGATGAGACGGTTGGATTAATTCAGGAGGTAGATAGTATTATTATGAGATATTCACATAAGGTAACATAAGTGGTCAGCTGGGAAGTTGGGATTTGAATTGGGGGCTTTTTGACCTCAGAGTTTGTGTTCTTGATCACTCAGCATATGACCTTATGTAGCAACAGAATATCACATTGGCATTATGGATTTTAGATGCATCGCAAGTGATTTATGTTAGTATAAGTCAACTTCCTGTGCTTGCTTACTTGCAGTGGTCTGATGAGATGAACTCTTCAAAATCCAAAGGTAAGGATTTGACTCTAAAGAGGTGACAGTTCCAAAAAAAAAAAAAAGAGGTGACAGTTCCATTCTTTGGTCAGCCTGGAACCATCGTGTCAATCACAACATTACAATTACATTAAAATGTAGCAAACACCAGAGAAAAAGTGCCTTCTCCTTTCCTTCTTACAAATTCATATGAAAGTTCCCATGCTTGAAACCAACATTTTTGAAAGTGTATTACACTGAATTTATGCAAAACATGGTTCCTTGGTTACTAATTTATAGACATACTGGGTTAAACAAAGTTAAACAAGCTTTCTTTTTTCTATTTTAACTGCAGGACTTCTCACAGCCTTTAATAATTCCCATTAGGGGAAAAACTATCATAGCACACAGTAGCTATCCTCAATTTTGCTATCTATCTCTATATCATTTACATGGAAATTAATAGTTTCCTCAAAACTTTTGTCAACTGGGGGAAATAGGGCCTTGGGTACTTGTGAGGTTAGTGGTTCCAAAGAAGCTTGGCCTACCATATTGCCAAAGACAATATATACAGGTCTATGTAAAGATCCAAGGGTGAGAGAGAACATTGCTTATTTAGGAAACTGCAAGTCATTGCCCAAGGCTGTAGTACATATTAACAGAGATGAAACATCCGTGTAGAAAATGAAGGAAGCTTTATTTTCTAGAAGGCACTACAGAACAGGTGTGGCTCATGAAGGATCAATGGGGGTGATAGAAGAATCCAAACATACATGTGAAGAAATGTACATCTTAAACTTTGGGGTCTCTGGGTGGACCTATACAATCACCCGACCTTGAAGGAGGAGAACCTGGGCCAAGTCTTCCCTTGAGGGATGCTGTGGTGAGAGACATCCACTTAACCCTTGGTTCCTTCCTTCCTAGGACCAAAGCCCTGATCTTGCCTATAAACTTCTACTCCCAGGGACTGTCTACTATTTCATTGAACTTTTTTCTAAAGTAATTTTACAGTATTAAAAAGATATATCAAAATGTTATCTGAAAAATTCAGCCAGAAAACAAAATTCTAATCTCATGGGCACAAACTGGTTTGGTATTTGAGCAGTTCGGATTTTTCCAAATATTGCAGTACTGTTTTTGAAAAATTAGTTCAAATTGCAATTAGGGAAGAGTGAAGAAAAAACTTTTATTATATCTACTCTACCAATTTGTCTTTGATCTGAATTCATTTTGTAGGCAATACTTTATTTTTTTAACTGAAGCCCTGGATTCATCAACCTCACACTTAGGTTAGTAGTCTTTGAGTGATGTGATTCCAATCATATAAAATAAGACAGGAGAGGAAGGATGTTGATTTCTTTCTTTTATTTAAGATTCAAAGTTGACTTGCAGACACTAAATCTCAGGCAGAGTTGAAAATTGTTTTTCAACAGGGAAGTAATAGATTTAGATGGAGAAAGGTCAGCTAGTTGGTGATACTTTCTCATTATCTGTTACTGGTTTTTGGAGTAACAATCAATCTTGCAACAACTGTGTCTGGTCCTCAATACTGCATGATTTTATGAGTTCACAAATCAATGAAGCATATTATTTCTAAGTC